GCCAGTGTTAGTTCTTGTCCCCTTTGTCATTCTACTGTGCTGTTCTAAGCCAGTGTCAGTTCTTGTCCCCTTTGTCATTCTACTGTGCTGTTCTAGGCCAGTATCAGTTCTTGTCCCCTTTGTCATTCTACTGTGCTGTTCTAGGCCAGTGTAAGTTCCTGTCCCCTTTGTCATTCTGCTGTGCTGTTCTAGGCCAGTGTAAGTTTTTGTTCCCTTTGTCATTCTACTGTGCTGTTCTTTGCCAGTGTCAGTTATTGTCCCCTTTGTCATTCTACTGTGCTATTCAAGGCCAGTGTAAGTTCTTGTTCCCTTTGTCATTCTACTGTGCTGTTCTAGGCCAGTGTAAGTTCTTGTCCCCTTTGTCATTCTACTGTGCTGTTCTAAGCCAGTGTCAGTTCTTGTCCCCTTTGTCATTCTACTGTGCTGTTCTAAGCCAGTGTAAGTTCTTGTCCCCTTTGTCATTCTGCTGTGCTTCATGCTTCTTTGTTTCCTTTTTCCCTTTAGCGTCTCCCGGCTGTTAACTCCGGCGGAAAGCTTTGATTGTTCGTCCACTTTTTGACTTTAGTCTAATTCAGAACCTGATTTTTTTTGCCTGCACATCCATTTTCGATCAATTAATTAGGTGCCGTCTCCACAGTCATGTTTGGCTACAGTGAATCTCCAACACGCTTTGTCTCTTGATTGTACACTCTCAGACTGCTGCCCTCCATCTCTTGATGTTGTCCTTTCACTTGTATCGTTGCTAACTCTTGCTTTCTTGCCTTTGACTTTTTTTCCTGTGTGGTTTTTAAAAGTATATCCGTTTTACTATCAGCCATATTTATGCGCAACCAACTGGTTGATTACTTCTAGAGCGAATGCACTCCGAATTGCAAGAAAGCACCCCTTACTAATTGCATTTTACCAACAAGGAAAACTTCAACATTTTTTTTTTATTGCAGTCGCACACTACAGCAGTGGCTCTCAACCTTCCTAATGCCGCGACCCTTTAATTCAGTTCTTTTGTGTTGTGGCGACTCCCAAACAATGTTTTTTCTTCATTACTTCAACGAATATGGGGTTTCCGATGGTCTGGGCTAACCCCTGTAACAGGGTCGTTCAAACCCCCCCCCCCCCCCCCCCCGTTTCAAAAAAAAAAAGAGTAGCGACAGGCAGGTTGAGAACCGTTGAACTACAAGGTTGTCATCACTTTAGGTCGTGAGGGCGGGGAGTGGCTAGGTGATGCTGCTGAATCAGAAGTTATTATCTGTACAGATGGCTCTGTGTTGAGGGGTAGACGATGTGCATGGTGTTTCATAACAAAGGCGAATGGACGTTGCTCAGTGCAACAAAGCCTGGCATATAATATCACAACGTCTAGTTTGAGAATGGAGGTGGAGACAGTCTCTGCTGCCTTCCGCTGGCTTGAGAATCAGCTGTACACACATGTCTTAATTGTAACTGACTCAGAAAGCATGTTGCGAAAGGTGGAGACGGCCATGTTCCGTGCAGAGTGGCAAGCATCGTTTCAAAGGTCTCGTATAGTCAGCGTCCTTGTGATATTTTCTCTAGGTTATGCCGGTGTGTTGGAAATAAGCAGGCAGACAGTTCTGCACCACTTTGTGGTGAATTGATGTATGGCAAACAGGATGTTGTGAGGACTCTTTGGGAGCGAGTGAACTGTGTGGAGGCATAAATAGATCGCTACGGTCTGAAGAGAGTAGCGCTGCTGGGAGCTACCAGGAGATTTGGCCGACGTTGAACACTCAAGGGAAGGGCGAGACGGGTAATGGTGCCATCGGAACTGGAACTGTTCGATTGTTGCTGAAGATGGGAACAGAACGCTTTTGGGTGTGTCCCGAGTGCTTTGATGTCGATTCTTAATTCAACATTCAACACTACACTACACGAACAAGAAGCTCAATAGAGAAAGAAAAAGATAAATAAGGAGAGCAATTCTGAAACGAAACCTAGGCAACGTAACTGGGGAAAAAAAATAGACATCGTGTAAGCAAAAAAAAAAAAAAAAAAAAAGAAGGAAACAAAACATGCTGAAGTGAATAAATTATGTACGTACTTTTAAAATTTTTTTCACGTTATTTATATAGTTTTGTGCTAACTGTCCTACAGTTTCACCTTGTGTGTTCTTAAATTTCCGAAGAAACAGCCTACGTGTCTGACAATTGCTACTGCTGTTTTCAGCCACACCAGAGTTACTGATGTTTAACTGAATGGATAGTTGTCCGAAAGGAACTAGGAAACTTAAAGCACAGAAGCTATAAATCTGTATATGTTGGTGCTCACTCACAAAACAGCAAAAGAAATATATATTTATATAAATTAAAAAGTCGACCACAAGAAAAATCGAAAGGAAATTGATTCCGACTCCTAATTTTTCATTCTCGCCTGAATGTGAACGTACGATACGTGTATTGTCAGTCCATTTTTCTCGTACACATCCCCCACCCCTTGTTATGATGGACAGTATCCAATATCTTTCCCCTCGGTTACCCCTGTGTCATTTCCTTTTTTAACTTTACTATTGTCATTCTTCTTCTTCTGCCTTTCTATCCCCCAATGGAGCATAGGCCCTCAAACAACTCACGCAAAGTCGTTCTATACTTCGCCATTGCATTGAGCTCTCCCCATGTCCTCCCAATCTTTCTAACCTCGTTCTCCAGCTCTCTTCTCCATGTGTTTTTTTGGCCTTCCTTTATTCCTATGCCCCTGTGGGTTCCAATGCAAAGACATTCTAGTTATGTTGTTCTCCTGTTTTCTCAGTGTGTGCCCTATCCAACGCCAGCGTCTTTTCCTCACTTCCTGATCCACTGGAGCCTGTTTAGTTCTCTCCCAAAGTTCTACATTAGTTATTCTATCATACCATTTTATTCCCTCTATTCTGCGCAGGCACCAGTTAATGAATGTCTGTAATTTATTAGTAATTGCCTTGGTTGTTCTCCATGTTTCCGCCCCATACAATAGTACTGATTTGACATTAGAATTAAAAATTTTTAGTTTAGTATTTCTTTTAATTTCTTTTGACCTCCACAAATTCCCTAGTGCTATAAAAGCCCCTCTTGCCTTTTGTATTCTTATTTCAATATCTCTATCAGTTCCTCCATCTTTATCTACATTACTGCCTAAATAGGTGTACGACTCCACGTCTTGGAGTGGGGTGCCATTAAGAGAAACCACATTACTATTTGCCTGATTTATTCTCATTATCTTTGTCTTTCCTTTATGGATTTTCAGACCAAGCTGCTTTGATCTCGCATTAAGTATTTTAATTTATCTTGCATCTGATTCCGTGAATGGGACAGAAGAGCAATATCATCAGCGAAGTCCAGATCATCAAGCTGTTTTGTAGGGGTCCACTGAATTCCATTCTTGGTGTTAGCAGTTACTGTTTTCAAAGTCCAGTCTATAGCCAGTAAAAATAAGAGAGGCGACAAAAGACATCCCTGTCGCACACCTGTTTTTATTTCAAATGCATCTGTTAGCTTTCCCTCATGAAGAACTCGACATTTCATGTCTTTATATGTTGCCTTTACTAAGTTGATAATTTTCTGTGGGATTCCATAGTGCCCCATCAATTTCCAGAGAGATTCCCTATCTATGCTGTCAAATGCTTTTTCAACCATTGTCATAGTTTCTAGTTATTTCTAATTATTATTATTATTATTATTATTATTATTATTATTATTATTATTATTATTATTATTATTATTATTATTATTATTATTATTATTATTATAACACGTAACTGCCGCCCATTGATTTGTTTCCGAGACCAGTTAAGGTCAGGGATATAACACATCCTCTCCCTTAGCACAGCCTGGGCTAGAACGTGTGTTGCCCATGCACCATGATCCCTCCCTCGGGATGCCTTGTTTACACACACACAGACACGTTTGAAATTTTATTTGCGATGGTCTAATGGCTCCCATGGGCTAGTCCAGTCGCCACAAACTGTGCTAGTTATGAATGTACATACATGTGAAATAGGGAGAAATTGCAAGAAGTATCCTAAAAAATAATTATAATTAAATTAGTCGATAATCAAAGACTGAATTGGTTCGGCCATTTAATCAAATCATTTATTTGTAGTTTCTGAGACGAATGTTACGAATACCTTGGACGGCCAGAGTAACTAACAACGATTGCTTGAAAGAAGCTAATGCAAGTAGATCTCTTTTTACAACAATAAGAAAGAGACAAACACTGGCAACATAATGAGAAGAGAGACATCGGAGAACATCGTGGCAACTGGAATGATTAGTGGAAAAAATGATAGAGGCAGACCCAGAGAGATGATGCTGGATGTGCTGAAACGATGGCATGAAGGGATATCATCAAGAGAGCTGTTCCAGGCAACCAGGGATCGTGATCTGTGGAGACGCATAAGCGCCTACGCCAGCTGGCAGGGCACATGATGATGATGATGAACCCAATATTACCAACACTAAGAGTTTTTAGCATAAAAGTAACAACACCGTTATGTAAATATGACAAACAAAATCATCGCCTCACTTCACCCAGCATTGTAACACAAGACTGCCCAATGAGAACCCAGAGTCCACTGTTTGACTTTATACTACTTATCACAGATTATATTGATTTCCTTTCTGTTTTACTCGTTAGGACATAAACAGCAGTTATTTTTTTTTTAATTTGTGTATTTAAGTTTTCCATGTTCAGATTTGCAACATGTAGGATAAACATTTCATGGGTGAGAATCAAACAGGTACAAATGCGAAAAATCTCGTTCCATACAGCATAGTCATAAGTAGGCACCATAAACGGGTCACAGCCCTACATATGGTCCAGTGTGGCTGTTTATGACATAAAAGGCGATTAACTTACATAATATTAGAAAGGTTTTTTATTCGTTTTAGATGGTTTTTTTCACCTGCTTAACACAGCAGTGTTTCTTTTTTAAACTTCTTCTTCGCGTTCACCAACTGAAAACTCTAGCGGACAGTTCTGGGTTTTCGTCAACCTTAGAACTTTAGTCTTGTTCC